TTGATTCCCTTTTTAATAATAACACTATTAACATTGAGCTTTTATTAACAAGAAACACTTGTTTTTTACGTTCAACGTTTAGTTTACTTTTCAAGCTTATCCACAGTTGAAAGGCTGAACAATTTATAATACAGTTAATGGCAACTCGTTACGATAATTTCATCTAAATCATCATTTTCATCATTCCATTGTTGCCTTTTGTTTTCTTGCCTTTTTATCCGCTTCTTTATCAACAAACCTTTTACCATTCCTTTCATTTGCTTGATTCATTTGGAAACTCATTTATTGCATCAACTTTTTCTCGTTCCCAACTTGAATCCATTTTTCAAATTTTGCTCACTTTTTCATTCCATTTTCTGTTTCATCTTCAGGTAACGTGATGATTGAAGATGAAATTTGACTTTAAATTTTTCGCATTTTTCCAATTTCATTTTCAGGTTCTGCTCTGATAACTTTCCTATCATGTCTATAAGTTTTCCTGAATTATTCCAAAGTATAGCAAACTCTTTCTTCTTCGTCTTCCTTTGTGATGATCATGATGACGATGAATATGAGCAAGATGATGTTGTTGGTGTTGATGATGGTGTGTTGCATTGTTGTTCAGTGAAATGTACAAAAGTAAGTAAAGGTAAGATCCTAATCTGCAAATAATGGACTCCAATGGCGAGGTTATTTTATGTCAAGGGGAGAAGAAAAAAGAATACAGAAAAGAAGTGAATTTATCTCTTGGTTAAAGTGAAAAATTCATTTTTTATCTTCATATTTCATCAGGAAAGTTGAACAAATAGACAAAATGTAAGGAAGGTTGTAAAGGAAAGAGAAGAGAAGAAGAAAATGAAAGAAAAAGTAATTTTATTTGGAAAGTTTCAAGATTTGATTTTGAAACATTTTTTCTTCAAATTTTGGTTTACTTTGCTTGGTGGTTAGGGTTTACAAAAGATTCAAGTTACAATTCAACTTGAAAATTCAATTGGCATTGCAAATGGTAAATCTATTAATGAATTGAATTTTTGGAGAATAGCAAATCCATTGCAAGACTTTGGTCATTTGGGATAATTTTCAATGGTCAAGTAAAATTTAAATCTTTATTGCTGTCAAGTACATTAGACTTGAAAAGCTTTTCTCATTTTTACTTTAATATTTATGGTTTTTAGGTGAACTTTGTTGCAAATGCTTTCTGACCAAACTTCAAGGTAAAGAGCAAACTGAATCTAGACAATTAATGGTTAAAATTAATCAAGATGCATTAAGATGATTAATGAATTCGAGACGAAAAGAACAACTTTTTCGAGTAAACAACTTGCAACTAAAAGACTCTTGATCAGTAAAAACAAAAAGAATCAGTAATTAAAAATTTCTAGAACAAAATTGTATGCTTTTCTATGAAATTTGTTACGTTTAAAACGCAAATCTTTCGGCAAATTGCAACTTGTTTATTACAGAATCAATTTTAAACTAATTTATAATACAAATGAATTTGCCTTTAAACTAAACAAACTTTTTACTGCTCGATAGTTTACCAGTTGATTTCATTACATTTGATGGTCATCTGTTTAGCTGAATGGAAATGGGTCAATGATAGTGTCTAGTGCGGGTCCTTAGCATCCAGATCACGATTAGTTCACACTGACTGCTCATTGTAAAGTGGCTCAACTATGAAGAGTCTGTAGATAGCAAACGGCCAATGGAAGCACAACGGTTAACCTAACGTTTACACAGACCAATGACTACACCAAGTCACGTCTTGATCAATGAGTTGACAAAAGACGGACGCTATTCATGTGGATAACTTCTGGTCAAGTTTAAATTGAAAGTTTAAAGGAAATATTTGACATTAGTAGACAATCAAATCAATTGTGGAAGCAAAGGTTCGCAAAAGGAACGAATGGAAAAGATAAACAAAACTTTTCTGCATTTCCTCAAATTCCAAGTCATGTTTTCTGCATCGATTTGAAAACCTTTTCCTGACACCTTTTCAAGTTTTATATTCAAATTTTTGACATGATACAGTCAAGTTGCCCATGGTTTATCATTTGAATTTCAATGAAAAAGATTTCTTCTGTCAATCGTTGACACTGTTTCTCCATAATTATAGCTGTCACTTGATGGTAATCATATTCTCTCTGAATCTTCAAATCTTTCATTCCATTTCTTAGTCTCCAGTTATATTGTTGTATTACCACTAGTCCAAGCTTCTTTGTATATTACTGACTCCACAAAGTCCAAGTATTGATAATATCACGATGGCTCAACCGGGTTGAGTCAATAGAGCGAATATTCAAAGTTGAAATGGAATCACAAGTCACTAATACATTGACCATGGTTAACAATAACCTAACAATTTCAATTTTGAATTCAATTTTAATCGTTGGAAAAATTAGTGACTTTTCCCCTTTATTTGACCTTTCCCTTTCGTTTAGGTCAACATTCAATATCAAATGTCAATAATAAGATGAAATTGTTTGAGTTGAGAAATGGAAATGAAATGGGAAAGTGAGTGGGAAAAAAGAAACAGAAAATAGTCAAAAACTTTTCACTTTTTTTCTCTCTTCCCTGAAACCAATACATTCTCGAGTTTCAATAAATCAGAACCAGATTTTTTGTCTACATCGAGAGCTGCAAAAAAGGTATAATCAGTTGAAAGCTGAAAAAAAGGAAAAGAATGAAAGAAAAGGAGAAAAGTTGAGGTTGAAAAAATTGCTAAAAAAAGTGCAACTTGAGGTTTGATTTGATGAATAATGTACAAGAAAGAGGAAGAAAAAAAGAAGTAAACGATGATGAAGAAAGTAGACCGGCAAGAAGAGTAAAGAAGCTTTGATGACAGAAAATTATGAGTTGGTTGAATAGCGAATAAAGTTGATCCATGAAAAGGCCAGAAGCAGAGAAGAAAAAAGACCTTTTTTAGACCAAAAAAGGCGAAAGTAACAGCAAAAAAGAGTTGAGTTTACTTTTGTAGTTTTTTTTGTAGAGTCAATTGAAAATAACAAAGTCTTCTTTTGCTTTCTCTCTTCCACACAATTTCATATGACAAACGATGAAAACTTGGTGATGATTCCCTTTTCTCATCATTTTATCTACTTTATATCTTACAATTTATCTAATAACGGAGTATGAAAAGAGAGAAAAGAAGAGAAAATGAATGGAACAAATTCAGGGTGAAAATAGAACGGAATTTATCCGGAAACTTTACTACTTAATGAGCATGTTGACTGTTGACAATCGATAAGCAAAAGACGCAAAGTTGCCTGGAAATCGAACGCTTTTTGGAGTTGCAAATGACCCCATGTTTAGTTCATAACGAAACAAAGATTATCCTGAAGAATGGATTGGGTTGATTCATTGTTCGTCTATTGGATGCAAGTGACTTGATTGTTGCTGATCAAAGCTATAATCAACTTTCATCTTCTCAAGAATAATGGTTAACACCATGATAAGTGAGACAGTAATCAAGAAGAACCAGAAATTTTGGACAGAAGAAGAAGAGAAATGTTTCGATGAAAAAAAGTGCAAAATTGTACCAACTCATTTCAAGCTTTATTAACCTTTTCACTTTTTTGGTTCAGTGTTACACTTTTTTCCCTCCCTTCGATTACTATTATCATTATTGTTATTATCAATGAAGTTATCAATGAAGTTATCAATGAGAATGATGGTCATCATGAGATAATGATCATTACGGTCAAGTTTAGAGTGAGACCGATCTTTGCTTTACCAACCTTTTACAACATTGGTTAGCCAATTGGTTTGCTTGACTTGAGTTATTCAACATTTAGTCACTTTTTTTTCATAAAACTTTCAATTCCAACCATTATTTTCAACTTCTTTTTTCTCAGCTTGTCTTTTTGCTTGGAGTTTTTTGTTGCTCTTGAAATTGATAACTTGTTTAGCAATTGGCAGTTTCTAATACCGCATATAAAAAAGCAAACCAACAATGAAAATGGTTCAATGGAAAAGGTCAAAGCTTATTAACTGATTAACCTGGCGATGTTTCCTTTTCCCTTAGATTTTTAACATTTCCTCCCTCTAAAACGTTGTGATATAATCATCATGACAAATTCAATTAGATTCAGTAAAGTGAATCAATTCATCGTCATTCGTCCCTCACTTTATAATCTCTTTTGGCCTTTTTACTAGCTATCCTCGGTTACTTGGAGAACTTCTCTCTCTCTCCATTTTATTGACTTTATCAACTTTTGATTGTTTTTCAATCCTTTTCTTCACTTCTTCAATATCCACTTCTGTCATTAGTTTATAATCAATATTGAACTGTAAATTATTTTGCTGGGTAAACAGCAAACAATTGGTTTTGTAAAGACTTCACTGACCTGTGATAATCTCAATTACATGAAGAGAGTAAATTCGAAGAGAACGAAAAGCTGAAAATTTCTTTTTTAAATAACCTTCTATTCTTGTAATGTAATCGATAAATTATTATACTCTTTACTCCGTGAGAAACAGTCAAATGATAGTGCCAAAGCTTTGGTAAATACAACATAGAAAATAGAGTTTTACCTTATTTTTGGTATCTTTGCGCATTAAAAGCTGCTTTGATTAAAAAAATACAGTCGTTTATGAAAGATTATGAAAGGTATCACAAAATAATGAGTGTTGGATGAAAAAAATCCTTATCCTACTGATGATGCTGGTCAATTTGATTGTGATACCTTTCAACATCTTTAATATAAACGACTGTATTTTTTGAATTAAAGTTACTTCTAATGCGCAAAGATACCAAAAACATAACTTTATTTTGTGTGCTTTATTATTAGAATGGGAAAAAGGCTGTTGAAGACCCAAAAGAAGCAGTTAACTGGGAGTTGAACAGGGAGTTAATGAAGGTAAAGATGATGGGAATGATTGAGGGGTAAAAGTGGCACGCGATTTTGGATGATGCTGGGCAACTATGGAAACGCGAATAAAGAAATGTCGAGTTTGCGTCAAGAGAAGCTCGAGATTTTGTTGGTTTCCTTGGAAATGAACAGTTTAGTGGTTGCGATAATAGTGTACATGTTAATGTTTAACAAAAGGTTCGAGTTTGCGTCGAGTTGAGCTTCGCTGATTTATTGTACACACACACACACACACATACATACACATTTGACTCTCTCTATTTCTCTCTGAGTTTCTTCTTTTTTTTACCTGGTTTCGGTTCTTCTCTTTTTACTCAAGTCCGGTTTATTTAGTTTATTGCCTTTTGAAAGCCACGCGATCAGTTTTTAGTTATGAACGAAATGGATTCCTCTTCAGTTTCATCTTTATCCCAACAAAATGGCAACTCAATGCACAATGATCCAGCCTCATCGCCAGGTTCTCAGGATGGCTCGGAAGATTCAAAGACAAACCTGATTGTCAACTATCTACCTCAAACAATGACCCAAGAAGATATTAGAGGTCTATTTGCTTCCATCGGTGAAGTTGAATCATGTAAATTGATTCGAGATAAAGTTACTGGTCAATCACTAGGCTATGGGTTTGTCAATTATGTTAGATCGGATGACGCGGAAAAGGCCATCAACACTCTTAACGGACTAAGGCTTCAAAATAAGACAATAAAGGTAAGTCGAAAGAAACCAATTAAACTAGAAAATTCAATTTTAAAATCAACTGACAATCCAAAAGCCGAAATCCCTCAAACAGCAAAACCTTCCTTTCAACATTTTTCCCTGTCTTTTCACCATTCTTTCCCAATCCAAATTGACATTAAACATTCATTGACATTTACCAACTCGCTTGACAATATTATCGCAAGAGTGGTTCAGACTTTTCAGAAAATCTTTTTCTTTCATTTCAACAATCATCACAATTAACAACTGACTGATTAACCCACGGCAAAATAGAGTTGACTGTTTAATATCTTGCTTTAGCTTGAAGCCAATCCAAATAAGTGACAATAATTGTAATGTTAATTTGAACCTTTGTTTTGGTTTGTATCCATTTTGATTGATGAAATTGCATTTAAAGTGATAATTAAAATGGGATAAAAATGAATCACAATGAATGCAATGCAAAAAACTCAAACTGTAATATTCAAAGAAAAGGTGCAAATAATACATTTTTCATTTCTTTTGTTCGCTTTCTTTGTATACTTTCTCGTTGTCGACCATTTTCATGCTCATGTCATTTCTCGAGAAAACGCGTGTCAAACTGCGCATTACACTCTTTCATCTTCCTTATCTTCCCAATCTTCCCAAAATGTTATCTTCACTTTTGTATTGCACGTAAAATTTACAATAAACTTTCTCTCTCACTCACCCATTTTACATCCCTTGTTCAAGTTAGACACAAAAAACAAAGTTACGGTCAACACGAGCTGCTTTCATCAACACACTCTTTTAATACTTGCCAATCGATTTAAACAGTTGAAAAGGCTTCCCCACCAAAGACGTACTTTTGATCGCACTCTTTATCCTCCTTCTCCTCCTCCTCCTCCTAATCATCTTTCACTTTTCTTCAATCAATACAGTCTATGATCCAACAAAACAGATTTACAATTTTATGTATCCTTTCCATCACTTCTTTCATCCTCTTTCTTCCTCTACTTGTTGGTTATCTTTTTTTTGGGTTAAACTGTAAATTCAATTGTTCATCTTGCAAAGCTTTACCAACTTTTACCCCTAAAATGCTTCTTCACTGTTTAATCTTTAAACACTCAAACTTGAATTTCAAAAATTGTAAAGATTGTAAATCGGTTATAAAGGGTAAACATTGTGTATTGAAAAGGAACGAGGTGAAATGGTTATTCAGATTCAATGTCACCCTATCAACAGGGAAAATGCGAGTTTACCATTTTTATAGACAATAATTTTTTGGTTAATCAGGAATAACAAAACCCATTTGATTTTGCCTTCAAATCAATACAGCTTGAAAGGCAATCTATAAAATTAGTTTTCAACTGTTGGGATGAAAAATTGATTGTTTCAATTAAAGTGATCAAGTTATGAAAAAGAGTTGCCAAGCAAACGTTTTTTCAATTTCATTTTCATTTTCAATTTTTTGTGGGGAAAAAAACATTTTCTGATTGTAATGTCAATTTTGAATCACAGGTTGATTTTTAGTTGCATGGTTGCCTTTTAATTTCACAATGCAATTGAATTATGTAAATTTCAAAGCACAATTTTAACACACTACACCAGACTCAGGTTTCAAAGTTGATTTTAAAATTGAATATTTGAATCAAATTGTAAATTGTTGCTTGGTTATCAGAGAACAACAATAAATGTTCTTGATGAGATTATTTTCATTTGTTGCCTGCTTTTCAAAAATAAAAAACGCATTTTGTTGCTTTATTGCGAATATGTACAAAGAGCATTCGCATTGTACTGCATTTGTTAACATGTTTTCCTTGCCGTTCTCTCATGATAATGGATAAAATTTCAATTTTTGTTTCCATTTTTTCCCAATTTTATCAGGTTTCCTTTGCCAGACCAAGCAGTGAAGCCATAAAAGGAGCCAATCTCTATGTTAGCGGTTTACCTAAAGCCATGACACAACAGGAATTAGAACAACTATTTGCACCGCATGGACGAATAATAACATCACGAATACTCTGTGACAATATTACAGGTAACATGGCGAATAAATGATAACTTGGCGACCGACTGGCAACAGTGAAAATTGGTGGACTAACTTTGATTTCTCTTTTGTTTTTTTTTCTTTAATATTATCCGTTGACCATTGGAATAACCATCACCATGTTGACGTTGCAAACAAATTGAAATGTACCAAAGGAGTTGGTTTCGTGCGATTTGACCAAAGAATAGAAGCTGAGAGAGCCATTAAGCATCTCCATAATACCATTCCAGAAGGAAGCAGCGAACCGATAACTGTTAAATTTGCCAATAATCCAAGCAATAATGCCAAGGCCCTTGCTCCTCTGGCTGCATATCTTTCACCTCAACGGCGCTTTGGTGGCCCCATTCACCATCCAGCAAACCGGTTCAGGTACATTCCTCTGTCACCAATCTCCAGGTATGCGGTAAAAATCCAAATTTCATTCAACAAAACAAACAAAGTGATACGCAAACATTATGACATTCATGGATAAGAATCTCGACCCCAATGGGCCTCGCTTCTTAACCATGAATATCTCCAATAAAGTGTCTCTATTATCATTATATTATCATTGTTATATCAATATTTTAGTATCAATATTGTTTCTTTCATTTTTCCATTGTAATAGATTGAACTTAAGGTGGATCCGGTTAAAAACAAAATAAGATAATCTTGAGTTCTTAGTTGAAACTTGATTTAATCTTACGCATTTTCAACATCATCTAAAACAATATCTAATGTTAATCGTATAAAACCGTAATCTCAGGTAATCATGTAAAATTGGGCTTTTCATCATCAGGGCTTTTCTTTTCCAAGAAACGAATAATCTTGATTTGAAATGACTTGCTGCAAAATGAAAAGGCCAGATGATGATCAATATTTCATAAGTTTAAATTTCAACTTATTAACCGGATTCACCTTTGATCAAAAATATTATTAATGAATTTTGGTTTTTTACTCATTATGACCAGCATCAAAAACATTTGTGTTTCACACACAACCCTTTTCTTTTCATCAACATGACATTCTGGTGATGGGTGACATCTTTTTTTTCTTCTTCTTCCTTTTAATTTAATTTTCCATGTCCCTGATTTATTTTAACCTGCTGCTTAAAATTAACTTGCTAATCAAATTTAGCAGCAAAAAATGACCCAAAATTAACAAGATAAACCAAGACCATTTGTATTATTTATAGTGTATATATTTGGTTTTGTTTGTTACAATTTAGTTTTGTTTCAGTTGCCTTTGTCTTCCCTTTTGTTTGGTTATCATTGTTTTTGGTTAATTTAGTTAGTTGAGTTAATTAAACAACAAACCTAAACATCTCTCAACCACCCAAATGTTCAAAATACAGCTGCGAAAATGGAGTTAGACCTGGATATCATATCTTTGATAACGCATCGTTTGTTATCCAAGCACATCGAAAGTCATTTTTTTGGGATAAATTACGCACGATTCATGCCTCATAACCAATGAGTCTTGATATGTTGATTAGGAAAAAACAATTATCTAAAAAATTGACCATCGATATGCTTGGGTACCAAACGGTACGTCAAAGATAGGGTATCGAGGTGTAACTCCATTTTTGCAGCTGTATGGCCCATTATATCAATTATGTTTAAACGCATATGAAAACTATGTTTTTACATGAAAGTCAGTGTTGAAAAGACAATGTTAAAATAGCAAACAAAAAGGCAAAGATTTGAAGTAATTAGATCGATGGAAGACTCCAGGCAATCTGGTTCTATTATTGATTATTTCAAGAAATTAAGATTTATTAGCTCTTAGAGTAGATTTAACAAGTTAACAGTAACAAGAGATGCTAATAAATCAGCCTGAAAAACCAAATATATCATATAACTCTGCAGCTTACACTCTCACTATCCCATCTTAATTGCAATGAACCACTCAAATTGATCTTTAGTAACCAATAATTAACTCTGTCCATTTCTTGTTGACCTCTCTTCCTCTCTCTCTCTCTCTCTCTCTTTTTACTTGAATTTGATTATATTTAATAGATATTCCCCGTTAGCTGGAGATCTTCTTGCAAACCCACTTTTAGCCACAAACGCCGTTAATGGAACTGGTTGGTGTTTATTTGTATACAATCTTGCTCCCGATACCGAGGAGAACCTCTTATGGCAATTATTTGGTCCTTTCGGTGCTGTCCAAAGTGTTAAAGTAATTCGTGATCTTCAAACAAACAAATGTAAAGGTTTTGGCTTTGTCACCATGACAAATTACGATGAAGCCTTGGTTGCCATTCAAAGCCTCAACGGTTATACTTTGGGCAATAGAGTACTCCAAGTCTCGTTTAAGACAAGCAAAAGTAAATGTTAAGTTTACGGATTTAATAGGAGATATCATGGAAGGAGGAAAGAATGAAGAAGAAGAAGAAGAAGAAGAAGAGAAAAGGAAAAACAAATGAAAGAAAGAAGCTAAATAATAGAATGGAGAAGAAAATGAAAATTATTGCAACCAAATAACAAAACAAAATAGAGATATAAAAAAGAGAATTTTTTTATGATAAAAGAAAGAAAAAAAAAGATAAAACTAATCGGAAATTGATAATATTGAGACAAAGCATGAGAAGATTAAAGATGGAAACAGGAGAGAGAAATGAGAACAGATTGGAAAGCCCATCCGAATGATAAGGATGCTTCACGTTAAATAGTCTTTCATGGAAGCAGAATTATATTTCGTCTAGTCTTGAATTTGGTATTTCCTTAATTATGTAAAGACTCATTGCCTCCACCAAACCTAATCCAATCAACCTTCACTTTTTCCCCAAAACTTCAACCCATCATGTTTCATAAGCAAACTCTTAAGGAAAAACAGAGGAAAAACAATCGGAAACAGGAAATTGGACAAACACACACAAAAAAAAACAAAAACGATTCATGTTATCATTCTGTGTATTCAAAGTGAACTTCGTGTTTCATCTTACGATACATCTGCATCAGTAATCCAACTGAATGGTGCCAACTCTGTTAATGGGAAGACAATGTTTTTTTTACCTTACATCTCTAATAGTTAACTCTTCATTTATCATTCCTGACAAATCATCAATTCCCTCTCATCGACATCAACTTTCATCAGTTTCTGTTTTTTAATCCTCCAAATGTCACTCGTTTTGGTCAAATCTTAGCCGCTTGTAGAGAAACAAAATTTAGAGACAATTTCATCTATCGTTTGCGCCAAGTTTACCTCTCAAACTATCAACATTTTGCTTGGCTAAATGTGTCTTCAAAAGGTTAACAAGATAAAGAGTGAAATTACAAGCCAACAAAAGAGTTAAAAACTCATCTCAGTCTGGATTGTTGTTAAAATGTTGTGAACTTGAACCAGCATTTGCAATGGAAAGAGAAAGCTAATTGATATTCATTCCAGGATTTCATGTTAAACCTGATTCTCGGATTTACAGTGACAACTCATCAAAAGTTGGAGTAAAACAAGAGACGGAACCAAGAAGGAATTAAGATGCAGATAATGTTGAAGCAAGAAATGTTTGCATTTTTCAATCTATTCAACCTAAAATTCCAGATATTTACATCACTTATTGTTATTACAAATTGCCATCTTCCTTTGTTGAATCTTCAATCTTCTTGTTCTATCATCGAGCCTTCATGGTGCTTGCCTTTTCCTCCAACAAACCCGAGGAGAAAAGAGAGAAACAAAAAAAAGATAAAAAGCAAAAGCAAGGAAAAACAACAAAAGAGGCGAAAAAAAACTAACATCTGCCAGAGGAACAGTTGACTATCAAATAAATTTGATTATAAGCCACTTTTACTTTCATCTTCACGATGATGATGTTACTCAGGTTTTACAGTCTCTACTCGCTACCAGTGTGTTATATGTGTTAACAGGAAAGGATCCAGAAGATCAAGAAGCCTACTCTTGAGAGGAATCATGAAAGCAAAAACATTATATTGAACCATCTCACAAACATGAAAAAAAGTAACATCATCTACAGGAGAAAGAAACTGAGGATGAAAAGGCAAGACTGACCAAGGGAAATAAGAGAAAATTGGTAACCATAGAGATATCATTTTCCATTATAACTTTCATCATCATCATCATCATCTTTATCCCCATTTTTACCTTTGCTTACGCATCCTCTTTCACCCGTATCCCTCTTCATCTTCCCTTTCACCTTCCCTTCCTCTTCCCTACTTTTATGAAGTTACCCTTATTTGCCTGTGAATCACGTCCATGAACAAAAAAAAAGATAATTCATGGACGTGAATACCTTTTTACTCTTTTTTTTTGTCTGTCATTCTTTGTCCTCTTTCCTCCTTCCATCTCTTATCTTTCCTTCAATGATGATGCCAGTTATCCTTACCTTTCTCTAGTTCATAAAGAAGATGGTGAAGGATGATGAGCATGAAAATATCATGAACACACTGAGCAAATCACTTGATCATCAACCTTTTCCAGATGATAAAAGAGGTAGAAATATTTTCCCTGTAAAAATGAGACAAATCTAGGAAGATGGCTAAAGATTTGGTGAGAAACAGTAAAACCATCCAAGAGAAAGAATGAAATGATGATGATATGATGATGATAGGAGGAGGTGAAGGAAGATGAAAGGCAATATCAAATATTATATCAAATATTATATCAAGTATTATAGTAATATATAAATAGAGTGGATGATCAATGTTACTAATTGAGCCTTTAAGGCATCTTTATGAAAAATACATTGAAACTGTATCCATCATTGTGATTGTAAAATGATTGTGTTGGCAAAGGAAAACAAAAGCAAAATGGAAACACAACAAAAACTTGTTGAATCAGTATTGATATAATTTTATCCTTTGCCTTTAATGATATTCATTCAATTGATACTGTCAACCATTCTCCCAATCATTTTACTATTTACATTTACTGTTTACTGGGTAAAATGCAAGCAAATCCATTCACAAAGGATATCATTTTACGACTTGATTTCATCCCTTTCTTTTCCAACCTCATCATCATGCAACCAGAAATCTGTTTCACTAAATCTGATGGGAATCATTGTCATCACCCCTCTTCCTGGTGATAAAAGCTCAAACTTGTTCAACTATTATCAATAGTTAAACATATTTCATTTGCACTTGCAAAGACAGCTTGATCCTTAGCAATTTCAATTCAAGACACATTTTTGTCTGAATTGCGTGTTAAAGGATCAACTTGATAGTTACATTTTTCACAAAATTCATTTCTAATCAACATTCTATTAACCATTTCAATCCTTCCCAATGTATCAGCTTGATCACAATTTGGTTGATTAAGAAGCCAAGTATACTGTTAACAGTATATTGAAACAACACTAACCTCAACCCATTAATATGAATCTAGATCTAGTCAGCAACTCTACGATTGTATGTAAATACAGGTTAGTTTTAATCAAGATACAAGCTAACTCAATTTATCCAATTTACATCTAATGAGTGTTTGCATAAAAAGGTGGAAATCACAGTCAATAACACTTTAGTCCATTTGGGTTGGCATTTCCTAGTTGAACCTAATTTTTAGGTAAAGTTATCTGTTTTAAGAAGACTGTTTCAAGCCAATTATGCTTGTATTAATAAGCATAATAGACTTGGAGTTATTTTGCATTAAATTGTTGAGACTTGACTCGCAATTTCACTTACAGTTGATCAAATTATGATAAATTTTTGTTCCATTTTTACTGCAACATTTGAAAGGACATTTATAGCCATTCAAACTGATGAAGACTTGAAAATTTAACGACGACGTCCAACAAAAAGGTCAATGTTCAGTTTTCAAGTTGCCATGAAATTTTCAACTCATTTTCAGCATCATTGAAAGTTGCTAGTTTCAAATTGCAATTAACAACTTAATCTTTTTACCTTTGCTAAAATTGTACCAATTTTTTCCTTCCTACTAAAGCTCATTGTCTTCCTGTTCAATTCAAGAGTAATCATTGTTAATTTACCTGTTTGTAATACAATTTGAATTGAAATACAATCAGGAACACAAATTGAACCGAGTAATCTTTACATTGAGAAAGGTTGAACAAGCAAACAACAATGTAATTAACATTAAAAAATCAGTATATTTTGTTAATTTGTGTGCTTGTGAGATGCTATTCTCATAACATGTAATTAAACATAATTAGCATCAATTTTGTTGCAAGAAAAAAATTGATTAACATCTTTGATCAATTGAAAGGCAAGAAACCCAAGAAAAGAGGAGGATAAAAATCAGCAAATCTAGTAATTAAGTTGAAAGGTTATTTAATAATCTTGCCTTTTACTCTGAATTTTGCTTTAATTACAGCATAATCCAGATTAAATCAATTAAACAAAATAGCATGATTGATTGAACACATAACAAAAACATTGGTTTGCAGTGAAACTTGAATGTAATTTGATTTACAAAATCAACTTCAAGTGAAACTTCAAATTCAAAGGCCATTCACAAAGGTGCTAATCTCATTGATTAAGGTTAATTTTTTTCTTCAATCGACATTTATCAGCATCATTTTCATTCTGAAAATTACTTTTGATTAACTCATTACTAGATTATTGTCTCTATTATTACATGTATCATCATCATTCTCATCATCAACATCATTCAGTTTTTACACCACGATTCAGTTTCTCAGTTTATCTCTTGGATTTTCTTGTTTCTCTCAAATGTCAACTCAACATTTAACATTATAAATGTCAATAGGAATGATTTGTCATCTTCATCATCTTCTTCTTCCTCTTCCTTTCAACCCAAAAATTTAAACTCTAAATCAATTTTTAGTTTAATTTTCCCTCTCTTCCCATTTGATTGGCAGCCATTGGTTGCTAAGCCAACAAGCAGTTACAATGAAAGTGAATCAATCCTTCGATTAACCATTATTTATAATAATATCTTCAATCAATTGCTGGTGAATCCTTATTTTTTATTTAACAGTTCTGTTCAGCAACATCAATAACAACCAACATCATCGTCTACAACATCATCATCATTACCATCAACAACAACATCAATTTAATCATAGATGATACAAAAATTGCCAGCAAAATGAAACACAAGAAAGTGAAAATTGAAGACACACCAAAAGAATGGCAACTCAGAATTGAACCGTTTCGATGTTTTTCCTTTGTTTTTCCTTTACCATTCCAACTCTTCTCATCATTTCCATTCTTCGTACATCATCATCATCTTCATCATCCTCACTTCCCTTTCCTCAACCCTCTTTCCCTTCTTAAATAAGCTTTCCATTTTATCGATTAATCGATTTCGATTGGTTTTGAGTGGATTTTTGTCTTTTTATCTTCTACACAAACTCACACAACTCAACAACATCAGCAAACCTTGAGCATCCTTTTCACTGCTTATCCTTTTTCATCCTCATTTCTTCCTTCTTACATCGTCAGAAAACAAAAAAATATCAATTGTGTTTCTTCAATTTTACTCCTTTTGTTTCTCCTTTTACCAAAAAACAACAACCAAGCCAAACAAACGTCTTAAGAAGATATTTATCTCTTAATTTAATTCATTCTAGTCCTTTTTTCCCCCCTCTCTTCACATAATATTATTACTTATATCTTATTATGATTATGATTATATTTCGTCTTATTATTATTAGTATATCATTCTTTGATCACTTTTTATCCCAATCCTTTTCATCCAATAACCAAATGTTTGCTTTTTACTCAACTCATCATTTCAACTTTTTTTCCCAAATGTTATTGATATTTGAGTGCGTAACAACAACCAACAACACAATGTAATACCCATTTTTTCCGTATTTCAGTTAATCAACAATTATCAATTCCTCTTGTTTATCAATAATTTTAATTTAACATTTTATTTGTCTTGCTATTATGATTATTATTCATTCCTAATTATATTATGATTATTATATGTTTCATTTGAAAGTGGAAAACAAATTTAACCCAAAAAAAACACAAATACATATGTTCGTATTTAAAAACAATTGGTATTATGAGTATTATTATTATTATTATTATGATTATTATTATTGAGTATTGATCAGTTTGACGATTATCTTGATTGGGGCCAAGACGAAGATGCACATTCTTATGTTATCCTTTCCTCTCTTCCTCCATCTTCTGAACATTTTCTCTCTATCATGATGAACTTCAATACAGGGTGTTAAGGAAACTCATGTGAGGGAAAAAATCATTTCCCTTGCGCATTAAACCCATTTTCTGATGTTATGGTAAGCCGCTATTCCTAAGCGCATTTTGATACTCTGCCTCACACGAACTTGACACCCTGTACAGTGAAGTACCAGTAATTGCGACTAAATTTATATAAGACCATAGGTTGTTCAATATTTGAATAAATGTGATCATGTCTCGGCGTTTTTTTAACATAAAATTCAAAAAATTAGAAACTCTTTCAATTGTTGACCACAAAATCTGGTCAAAAGAAGATTTTGAACAAAACTATTTAGATTTGTTGAAATTAATTTTACTAATTAGAAAACATTTGCACGTAAAATAGCTTCTCTGCTATTTAAAGAGAGTCACAATTACTGTACCTGACTGTAATGAAATAACACACAAAATACTGGCTCAAAAGGCGTACTGTTAACCAAAAGTCAACCCAACAGTTAACAGTGAAACCAGAAAATTTGAAAATGTAAAAGAAACGCCAAAGCAAACCCAAAAAAAGATCAAACGGTTTACCAGAAAAGGCAAAATCTGGTAAACATCTTTTCGGCTTTTAACCCAATACATCTTGACAGATGACAACCAATGTTATAAAGACGATAATTATGGTGATGATGATTTGATTGAAATTATTATTAATCTAGAGAATCTAACACACATGAATTGGTAAATGGATGAAGATGAAGAGGAATAATGAAGGAGATAAAAAAAAGTGAATTTTATTCTTCTTTTTACCAGAAAACTTTTGTTTCCTTTCAAAAGGCAAAATTAACATTTCAACCCTTTCTTTTCGTCTTCAGTCTTCAGTTTTTTTTTCTTCTTCTACTTCAACATTTCATCTACATTGTCATTTTAATGGTTAATACAATTAGGTTGGCTTCTTCCTAATTCTTATTAGACACACACACACAAAAAAACGAGAAAACATTTTTCAACCCAAAAAAATTAACATTATACTTAAAAAACGTAATTTAATTATATTATGATTATTATTATTCACTTTTCTTTTGCTAAGCCAATTTGCTTGATTACTTTATATATAAAAGCACACAAAACCTGCAAAGCAAGCAAAAAGGATGCCAACAGCTTGACTAACTTGTTAACAGCGTTTACAATTTACTTGGGATTTTACTTGCTACTTCGTCTTATTATTATCATTACGTATTATTATCATTCCTGATCATTATTCTGATTATCATTCTTATGGTTCTATTATTCCTTAAGCGAAACTCAATATTTTAAAATATTTACTAAATTTTTTGCTTGTGTGTGACGTTTTGACTTGATTTTTTCGTAAACAAGAAACTTATAATTTGCTTCAACCACCCGCAAACAACCCACCAAAAAGACCATCGATTAAGAAAACAAAATCTTTCTAACGATTGCCATTGTAATGGTCATCCTTGTCGTCATTCATCATCATCAACATAATCATCGTTAATGTTAACGGCAATGTGTAATGTATGGATCTCGCAACTTGGATGTAAAAAATTTTCCAGAAAAAAAACGATTCCATTCGGATTCCCTTTCCATCTTGATATGCCACTTTGATTACCCTTAGTAAAATTTGAACCATCTTTTTTGTATCCGTAATTGTATATCGAGGTAATCAGAATATTTCTGGAATCAGACAAAAAAAAGAATGAAAATTATTATAAAAATTGATACAAAAAATAGAGATTTAAAAAACGAGAAAAGAACATCAAAAGTAAAAATATAAATAAAGCAAAATTTGACTAATAAATTGTAATAATGAATACTTGTGTTGTCAATGTGAAATTGAAACATTGAACTCCTTTTCACAGCAAATTTGAAACAATTTGAAAAGGCCTAATGAAAAAATATACACAAATTATTGTAAATAACCTGGGGGGTTGGTAACAAGTAAAGGCCAATGTTTTAAATGATAAACTAAATTGTGTCCAATCATTTAACTTTCGCGTCCAATCCTTGAACAATTGATTAAGGCAAACAGCGAGAATATATTATTGATTGAAACCTTTCTTTTTTTATATACCATAAGATTTGATAAATCTTCAATTTGAACAACAATTAGTACAGAATTGGAAATCGATTAAAGGGATTTATCGAGTGAGAGAGCACAATTAATGATTGTGGCTCAGGGATTGGCAAAGGAAAATTGTACCTATCCGATCAATATAATAGATTGCATGTGAGTTTCAATTGATTTGAGGTGATATAAATAGTGAAAAGTTAAATGGATATTGTTTAGATACATCAACAATAAAGTATTGTAACAATAACAGTTTAAAGGCATATTAAGACGGTAGTTAGTTGTTCAAATTTTGCTTTCTGCTTTTGTGGACCTTTGTGGGTTGATTTGTAGTCATTTTGGGTTAGTTGGGTGAATTATTTACAAAAATTGGACTGTCAGCTTAATTTAGGTATTGGGTTTGAACAGCAGATAATTAAAATAACATAGCAACTTAATAAGTTGGTGGTGAGTTTTGTTTTCAACTGCTATCCTTTGAGTCAATATTTTTTTGTGGTGTTCATGGTTGTGTTCAGGAATTGTGGTTATTCTGGTACAATTAGCCAGCCATGTTACCCAGTGCTGCTGCTCGTGCAGCTCGTTCAATGGCAATTTGTTCCCGAGCTTGCTTCTGTGAGACCACAAAATCAATAATAAGGAAAAAGTTCTGTCCCATATGAACCAATGCCTGTGAAAAAGGGAAAAAAGCAAAATTGTTAATTAGAGGTAACACAATAAAAGGTAAAGGGTAGGTATGGGGGAAAGAGGGTTATTCAAGGGAATAAGGTGTTCTAATGATTGCCAGTTATTATTTAAGTTGTAAATGTTTGATCGACCAGTAGTTAAATCGTTTGAAGAGATGTGCTATTTTTAATTAATAAATGTGTTCGTTAATAATGGAGCAACAATATATTGGAAAGGGAGGCAAGACTGTTGACCGAAATGCATGGATGAAATGCTGGATAAATTAACTGAACCTTGAATTAATTAGATTAGTAATGATATTTTGTTCTTCCATAGAATAAAATATTATTTTTAGACAATAAGAGCAATAAAAAGGAGAGACTGATCAATGTTTCACTTGGCTTATTCAACTTGCTGTTTTGATACAAAAGCTTTGAGAGCATCTTTTGTTGTTGTCTCTCCTCTCTTTTCATAGGAAAAAAGCAAACGAACGCAAAAAATATTTCCACCAATAATAATAATAAAAATATATTACTATCAATTTTGTCAACCAAGAATCTCTTCTTGATAGCCTGAAACTAAAAATAAAAAGAGTAATCAGCAAGAAGATAGAGAGGGTTAGAGGTTAACCTTTCCCTGACTTTATAATTAAACAGAGAGTATAAAAGTCCTTTTATGGGTAAAGGATTGGTGAAAACAAATAACCCAAAACTGACAAACACAGAAATTATTAATCTAAATGTACAATAAAAATGGGTTGAAATGGGACCAGTTTATCTCAAGTCAAATCGTGATCCTGAGTTGGTGGAAGGTTAAAGGTTTTCTTTACTTACATGGTAAAAGGAATGTCGACTTAGACCAAACAAATCATAACAATAAAAACCTATGGTGGCTCCGGATATCCTTTGGATAAATATGCGAATCTGATTAGGAAAAGAGAATATTTGAGAAAATGATTTCAAAATGGAGTAACTGGATAATATTGTTGCATGAGATTCAGTGTTAAGGAAAGGGGATGGCCATTGGAATAGTCTGGTACATGAGGGTATTTTCATTCAAGATTATCTACAATGGATAAAATATAAACTTGTAAGTCTAGTCAAAATAAGTTGCAGCTAAAATCGATACACATATTATAAATGTTGTACCAGAAAAAAATATTTTACATCATTTTTATAAGTAAGTAGACAGATTAAAGAGTTTAAAAGATCTAAATTTGACCATTCAATATCAGATAAATGATGCAAAGAGCAAATTTAAAATGGACTAGACTTTTTAGGATAAAAAAGTCTAGTCCATGGTGATTCCAACTTGCAAAGATGAATGAAAATTTTTAGCATCAGATTTAGTTTTGTCCATTTTCACTCAAAAAAATGAGAATGTATTACAAGATTAAAGGGATTGGAATTAGAAAAAAGGTTTTTTACCTGAAGTCTAAGATCGAGAGGATATTTAGCAAAAGATGCTCTCACAGCCCGAAGATATATGTGGTGAACTTCATCTGAAAGTGCGACTCCAATGAGAAACATTCGGGTAAATAGATAGGCAGATTCGAGGTTGAGGGCCCACAGAAGGCCAAGAGCACCCCAGGTTTGCCACATGAAGCAAATTTCGTACATTGTGTAGACGAATATTGTGGGTTGGACAAAAAATGTTATCATCACAATAAGACACCAGTAGCGATTGTAGTGATCTAGTTTCCAGCACAGCGAATCGTGTTCAATCAATATTTGTCTCATCAGTTCAACTACTTTGACATTAGATGTGGGCGACTCACGAGCAGTGATGATGCTCTCTATGTCTTGATTAACTTTATGGAAACGAAGCTGAAAATAGTATCCAAGAATGTCAAACAGATTGATGGTCACATAGATTACACCAGAACAGATGAAAACAAATAGAGTCAATAAAACTCCCCATGCAACAGAGTAATAATCAACTTCTTCGATTCCTCCAGATTTTAACAATGGTGTGTTGTCAAGGTAGATTGAGGCGAATACGATTGATCCGATAACCGTTCGGACGCCAATTATGTATCGACAGCTTGCCATCTTTGAGTGGGCATAACGAGAAAGTGATTCAACAATTTTAATATTGGTTCCAATTTCTTGGGGTAATTTAGTTCCATTAAGCACCTAATTGGAGAGTAACAGTTTTTTGAAAAAAGTAACATTAGTAGATAATACAACAAATGAAACTAAAGAAATTAAAAGACTTGGAGAAACAAATAAATCTGGATTAACAGGAGAAGACAAAAAATTAAACCTGATTTAATGAACAACATAAAGATTTAGATAAACACTAAATAATGACATCAACGGTTGTTTTACTAAAGGGTTTACAAAGGAACCAGTGAAAGTGGTTAAAATGCTTTCACTGTTTTAAGGCACTGTTTTCACTGACAATAAGAAGCAATCAGATTTTAACGCTATTGTCAATCAAAGTTTCAACTTGACTATGACTTATTTTTTCCCAACATAAAGGGTGTCAAGAAAGTAGGGTCTCAGTTTTTAAAGAGCTTCATTTGTTTTCTCGGATTGAAATTTAAGAGGTTTTTTGCACTAATCTGTTTAACTAGATTCTGAGCTTTAGTTTGATACAAATTTTTCCCATTTTGACCTGAAAAATGGCTGAAAAACGTAAAAAAAACGAACTTTTCTATTCTCGTGTTTGCCATTTTTATGTGAAAAGTGGGAAAAATCGCTCAACAACCGCCGCGCATTTTGTATCTGAGGGAATTTCTAGACGATCGATTAACCGAATGATAGTGCGATATGAAAGGACGGGAAGTGACGAATATTGTAAGCTGCCAGGAAGGCCGAGAAGTGCTCTAGAACCTAAGATATTGGAAAAAATCGAAAAATTATTGGATTCAAACCCCAAAATTTCAACTCGAACTGGAGGTAAGAAGCTCAGAATTTCTCATGAATCGTTTTCGAAAGGTAAAAAACAGCTAGGTTTTAAATCATTTGTTAGGCAAAAGGCTCCTAATTATAAAAAAGATCAGAGTAAAAGGTGTAAAAGTGGAGCAAGAAAATTATATAATGAAATGCTTTCAAACAAGATCATTGTGATGGATGATGAGACATATGTTTTTGTAGATCCTGAGCAAATTCCTGGTAAAAAGTTTTATTCGGCTAGAAACAGAGTTTCAGTAACTGATGAAGTAAGATTTAATCCGAAAGAAAAATTTTCTAGTAAATATTTAGTTTGGCAAGCCATAGATAGCTTAGGTAATGTTTCTGACCCTTACATAACTACAGGAACTATTAGGGGAGAAAATTATCTAACAATCCTGAAAGATTATCTTATACCATTTATTAAAAAACACCATAGAATTGAAGATGTAATTTTCTGGCCTGATTTAGCTAGCGCTCATTATCAAAAAGATGTGGTTAAATATTTAGAAAATGAGAAAATAAATTTCGTAGACAAGAAAAGCAATACTCCAAATTTACCTCAAGCGCGACCAATCGAGAAATTCTGGGCTATCTGTAAATCTGAATATGCCAAACGTTCATCAACACCAAAAAGACAATGTGATTTTACCAAAATTTGGAAAAATATAGCAATTAAGGTTGCTCAAAACTCAGGCAAAAACCTAATGGAGAACCTCAAGAAAAAATTACGTAAGGTCTCTCGTGATGGTCCACTTTCTGTATTGAAATGAAAATCTGAATATTTAATAAATAAACTATGTATGTTGAAAAATTGGTCATGATATCTTTTCTTGGAATCAAGTTATGAACAATTTAAATTTGGGACTCTACTTTCTTGACACCCTTTATTTTTGAACAGTGATCCATTAGTCAACAGTTGAATGGTGCCTATCAGTCTAGCCTAACTGTCCGCAACATAAAAAACATTAGGAGACATACTTTACTATCCTTTTAACCAGTTTAATCATTTGAGCTTCTTTATATTGAGTTTCGCTCTTTTAACCCTTCTCCGTGTGTCAATGTAAATCGTTAAAAGTGTCAAAAATGTACAAATAATTGAACTTAATTTACCTTGAAAATTTCAACAAATTCCATATTGTAGGTGTTATTTTTACAAGATCGAGCTCCAACATATAAGATGGCATAAGTGTAAGTCAAATAAAATATAACAACCCAATCAAGGTAAGGATAAGCTTTGTAGCTGTAACCAAGTAGCTTGCGAAAATAATCGTCTTCATACCAGAGGACAAACAAACTGCGAATCAACATGTGTAAAATGAATGCTTTAATTAACATGTGATATATTTTAGCAAATCCGCTTGACTGTTTGCGCTTTTCAACATTGTAGTCATCAAAGTTGAGCGGGAACAAAGCAAAGGGTTTTATAGTTGTCTCAACGTTTATCTTTTCATCAGAAGAAAGTGATTCCGCCATCTTGTTGTTTTTTACTTAAACTTGTTAAATCTGATTATTTTGTCTCTTCTCACAATTTACTTTTTTTTAACCGTCACCAAAAGACAAAACAGACTTACAACAGCTATTGAAGATGATTCAAGAGTTTAAAATCAATTAATCCAACTTTGCAAGTGTCAATGTTTCTTCACAGTGTTGTTACTCCAGACAGTCTTGTCTCTTCCTTGTGCCTTTTTCACCACTTTATTCAACTTTTAGTAATCAACGGTTAAAGGTAAGACGCAAAAGATTAACCTTATTTTCTATTGAAAAATGTAAATTCACTTTTTTCACATTTACTTTGTTTAATCAGTGGAAATTATTGATCAAATGGGTTCTATGCTCATCTATCTTTCTCTTTTTTCACCATTATCTTCATGATTGTCGTCATCGTTTTTTTGTCTCTATCGTATGCAAACTCACGCGATCAAACTATTGTTTCAATGATTGAGAGGGTTGGTTACCTTTCTTATGCCAATATGCTAATTCTAATTTTTTGTTTCTACTTTTTTCTTTTCATTTCAATTTCTTTATAGTTTATTGATTTCATCGAACTTGGTACTTGAGCAATTATTAAAATCTGGATGATGAAAGGTAAGGGCTGAATTGTTTTTAAAAGTCAAAGGAATAAAACCATTGAAATGTTTCCCTGTTTGCTTTCTTATAGGAAATGGTGTAAGAAAAAGGACCTTGGTTTCCATGCTTGTCAATCAATAGTTTCAATCAACATTCAACCTTCTTCCATGGGCAAATTTGTATCAATAAGATGACATGCAGAGACAAATTTTAGACTCAACCACTAACCTCGAAGGCATCATTAAGACTAACTTTCAACTGGATCATGTAATATACGGATCTTTTGTTGCTATTGATGACATTATCGTTTGATTGAGTTGTTCTGAGTGAATTCCTTTCCTTCATCTTTATCAGTTCAAACTGATTTCCTGGACTTTGAGTAGAAGGAAAGAAAAAACGTTACATTTTTTCTCCTTCATGTAAAACTAAGTCTCAAATAAGTGATTCTGTTTATCGAGAATTAAATGAAAAAGGATTGTGAAGGCATAATGCAAGTAATGCTACATCAATGAACCAGTAAAGTATCATTTATGAAATTATGAACCAGATAAAAATGAAGGAAGGATAAAAATGGCCATAATCTTATAAATGAGGGGAGGTATCCATCATGAAAGAGATGAACGTTTTACAAAAAGAGTTAATGATTGGTAAGTTTGAATCAGTGAATAATAACTAGTAATACCACTTTATTTACCAGTTACACGCATCAACCATGATTTGATAATGATAGCTTGACAAATCATGATTGAAATGTGAAATAATTTGATCATCTGATCAGTGAATAAAATGGTTATATCCATTGATTATAAATTGTAAGAAAAAAATGTTACAACTTGACTGGTGTAAAACGTTGATGTAATATTTTTGAAATATCTGTGTAAATTAGAGGGGGAAAATATCATCAAAACTCCCTTGGTTGGATGAAAGAGTCTCCATGAAGATGATTCTAAGGTAACAATTTTTTTTTGTAAACCTTGTGTTCACAATAATATATTTACCTTTAGAGTCAAAATAAGTCTTCTTTCTTTGTTTAATCTAAATTTTTATTGATCAATTTTATCGACCAGGTTTCACTATCCAATGTAAGATATAATTGAAGCTTTTGATGGCGTTGGCTTTGGAGTAATGTTTCATCCAACCGAATAAAACAAATATCAAACAAGCAAGAAATAAAGGAGAGACTGGGAAGGAGAGGAAGAAAACTAAACAGTCTAATTGACTTGAATCCAAAATAGTATGCAGTAAAAGGATGCTCAATGATGTCTCGCCTTACCATCAAAAAATCCAGTTGAGAATGATGTTGACTGGAAATAACAATGGTAAATACTGGAAATCATCATTATTTAATCATTCCATTGATTTGTAGAGAAACCTGAACAGCCGAGAGAGAAGCTTATTGTTTTTAATGGGAAAACAATTTTCACAGTTTGGACCCCAAAATTGTATGTAATTAGTTAGCCATCTACTTGAGCGGAAAATGTATATAAATAATTTTTTCTCTCCCTTGTTATTTATGGAATCGCTAATGAACCGTTAAACAATGGATGCCGATAAATCTAAATTAATCAGATAATAGATTATTTATATCTTTATTTTTGATATGGAAGGAGACGAAAATTGGAAAAATCTGAAACAAAGTTGAAAACTTGGAGAAAAGGATTCAAAATTAATACCAGTGATCAGGTAATACCAATGATATTGTCATTTATCAGAAATTTCAGGGTTCCAATAAGAAGACTCAAAAAAAGAAAGGCTTGAAGAAAGTTTCATTTACGTCAAAGAATTGTTGATTGAGCATTCAAGCTCATTAGATACTTTCAGTATTTCAGATTAAATCATCATCAACATCACCATCAATCCCAAAATCGTGCAATTTGTTTTACGGTCTATTGCGTTCTTGATCATTGTCATTTTTACTTTCATATTAACAGCTTGTACCACTATTAATTATTTGCTATGTTACATTCCCAAATTGTTGTTGTTATCCCTCTATTCGTAGGCCTTTCCTTCAATCAATTAATGACTTAGTTGACTATCTTTCATGATCTATTCATTCTTTCCATAATAATAACCAGATAACATGGTTTTGTTTCACTTTTTCCGTTCCATTGTTTCCATCTCTCTCTCTCTCTCTAATCTGACAAACCCAATTCTGGTTCCTCTTTTTTACCCTTCATCATCTTTCTTTTCCTTGATATTTCCAGCTTCCTTACTTGAATCGCCAGAAAAAAAGACTCGCTTTGTTTTCACTTTGATTACAATGCATTTTAACATTTAGAAATGATATAACTACTTCCTTGAGCTAAAATAATCAATGGTAAGGAATGAAAAACACCTTGAAATATATTGTTCTCACTGAAACAAAAAACTAGAAATAGGAAACATTATTGTGTGAATAAACAGATTAGCTTTCTTTATAAAGATGTGTATTGCTAAAGTTATGATGATGTTGGTGAAAAACAATAATAATATGCTGAACATAGCGTGATTCTCACAGAATACTTTCTCATACCATTCTGACTCTTTTCATCATCAACATCTTTCTTTCTCATCTTTTGCCTGTTACCTTCAAATTAAGTTACCAGGGAAGCAAAATTTATATTTAATCTGTTCTCATTAAGGTGACAGAAGGAAGAAGATGAATAAATAAATTATATGAAAAAAAAGGAACCAGAATAAGCAAGAAAAACCAAAGCACAAATAGGTTTGGGTGTGTTTTGTTGTCTATGCCATCTTAATGAAAAGTAATTTCATGATAATACCCCCAAAAAAGACGGCGAAAATGAAAAATAAAAACAAAAATTTATTCAAAACAATAAACTTTTGTACTTGTTAGTGTTTAATTTACAGTTTGGGTTTATCAAAAAATCAATACAATCATTTCTCGGCTCAATTCATTGTTATTTCAATTTGCTTTTCAGCCTTTCTTTGTCAAATTGTCTCTACGTCATTAATTTATTTTTATAAAGCATGTCAAACTGAGAAATTAATTTCTTTCTTCTAAATCTTATAGCCTCACAATATATTATTAATGTTCAGTCTTGGTGACTCTGGAATCGTTCATTTGACTCATCGATTTTTAATACTTGAATGGTAATCACATGTGCATTTTAACCTAAAATCTTGCTAATAATTGTTTCTTCTTCTTCTTTTCGCAGGTAAATTTGTAGCTTTGTGTAACTGCAACTTGAACAATTGAATTGGAGTTATTGGTCTGACCACATATTTTCACTGGAATAAAATTTTCTGGATCAATCTAACATGAGAAAGTTTGGTTTGAAGGCAACATAAAACAAGTTATGATCAAATCTTTGGGAATGGTTGAAGGTTGTCTGATAAATCACTTGGAAATCAATCCATGGAATAGTTTTCTGAGTAATTTAATTATTCCACAAAATGTTATCAATATTTAAAATGTTGATCGTTTGAAGGGAAATGTCTTAAATTAATCAAGATTCTAAGAATTCACAAATCAAATAATTGATGGCTGGAAAATGGAAGAATGGATAAAATAGTTTGCAGGCAAAGAATCAGAAGTAAATTGTTTGGAATGTATAGAAACATTTACATCAATTTACTATACTTTTCCCCTTCTCTTCTCTCTTTACTCACCAAACTAAAGTCATCAGGAATCATCAGGAATTACAAGAAAAAAAAGATAGAGAGAAAAGGAAATGTGTATAGATATAAATGAACATTATTATGATTATTACCATTATCATTTTATACAGTTTAGTTAAAGGTAATGATTAGATGAGGAGAAAAGTCAGTGAAATGATTAAATTGTAGAGTAACAACATAAACGTTGCTCATTCAATGGATTAATGTAAACACATCTAACCATCTATGTTTGTATTTGGCATTATAAATGTAAATTGAAGGAGTTTTAGGGAAGATTTAAACGGAAAGAAAGAGGTGAAAAGAGAAAATTTGATACACGAAGAAGAAGAGAGGAGAAGGAAGCAGTTGATGACTGTTCATCTAATGCACATTAACGTTCATTTATCCAGATTAATAATATTCAAAATTCAGAGAAATACAAGAACGTAGAAAGATTTGTTTTGTAGATTTTTTTCTCTCTTCTCTCCTCATTCAGCCTCGCTCTATCTCTCTTTAACCGTCGTCATTATCATCGATCCAATGTTCATCAAACTCACCCCATTCCCTTCTATCGTTGTACAATGATCATTCCATCCTACATGATTTTACTTACAAAGAGTTTCTTTTTGCCTCTTCTCTTTACCTGACTTTTTCTTCTTCTTCTTCTCCTTCTCATGTTCATCTTCCCTGATGCTTCCAACTACTTTGCTCAGGATAAATCATCAGAGATTTTATAGAAATGGTCTTCTCTCTTAGTCTCTCATATTCATCAAAATCATCACCATCACCAGTGTATTCATCATTTACATTAACAATTCCTCCAGCTTTTCTCTTCTTCTTCTTGTATTTTCCCTTTTACTTTTCAAATCATTAACTGAACATGATCATTCCTCTATCGAGTTGCTGATAGATTTGTCATCATGTTAGTTATGAAGATAACAAGGTAAATGAATTGGCAGGGTAAATTAGTTTACATGAGCGTATCATCTTCGTAACAATTTATTAGCAATGGAAACCAATGACCAGCTTCTTGCCTCTGCATTGTGACCAGAAGGAAAGCCATTTAATCAACGTTACAATGTAACTAAATTGTTTATTGGCCCATATCATTGCATATATCAATTAACCTTGATTATTGACCCTCGTTTTCAATAATATCATATTTGAGGAGAAACTTTCTTCATAATATTAATTATTAACAAGTTTCAAGTTTGCTGCTCAAACTCAACTCACCAGAAAAGGCAAATCAAATTATCATTCCAAGTTTTAGATACAATACAATAAATATTTGTATCTGAGCATGAATCGAGTTATATTTTGATAGGAAAGAAATCAATTAAATTTTATAAGCAATAAAATTTATCGGTTAATATTAAACTTTAATATCGTATCCACTAAATGATTCACTTATATTTTTTTCAATTCAATTTATGTCAAGTGCACAAATATAATAATTTTATCTTCATGATTGGAAGTGTATGAAAGAATCGATTAAAGCAATTCAAATGATAGAATCGGAATGTAAATAATCCTAATCAATATATTAATCAAAGACATATCGACAGAAAACTGGAATAATTTGAAGCAATCTAAATTATGTTTCTGGGATAAAAAGTTCTTAGATTTTGCCATGAAATCTGAGTCTTTAATTCAGGAGATGTTCTTCAGAGCTATTCTCGAGACCAAGTCAATGATATGAAATAATAAATGATCAGTATTTTTCTGGCTTCTATCTGAATTGACTTGAACATAAAAACGATGAAAATTTAAAGATTGAATGAAATCGATGAATGTGCAAGATATTTAAATGATAACAAAATACGATTGATTTAATGAAAATTAAACTTGAAAATAGCTGCAAATAGTTAAACTTGCAAAAATAGTAACACGGAAAAGCTAGTTCCATCTTACTGTGGAAAACTAAACTACAGGTTACAACAATATGTTCATCCTTTGGGAGTTTGACCAGAAATCATCTTAAGAAACGTATATTCTTAATGGTCATTTCGGACCTTATCAAAATTTGCGAAGGACCAAGTTTGATTGTATGCGCCAAGTTGAATTATTTTCTTTGACTGTATTTTGGTTAGTGAATTGCGTTTATTGGTCCATTTTTATCTTGGATGGTATGCTGTAGTGACTGGACGGGATTTGCCGTTCCATGCTTAGGAATGCTTGATTCAGGAGGACGAGGAAAATTAGATTATCAACACGCTAGTTATTTGTTAATTCAATATTTTTCTGTTTTTCTAATATGATAACTTCGTTATTTTCATTGTCCGTTAACTTTGTATGACTGTATGGCAACCGCTCTCACCAGTCTCTATGACTAATTTCAAATGGTTTATGGTAGCTTTATGTTCATAATTGCACCAATGTAGCTAAAAACGCATTTAATCCTTTCTTATCTGGAACTTGAATTATCAAACTTGCCAGACTGTCCAAACAGCTTTCTTCAATCTTTTTATCCTTTATAATCTTCAAGACTTGAAGTTCAAGTTTCACTTGTGGGCATGTGTAAGGTTTAGATTTTTTTTATTAGGATTTCATTTGAAATAAACAAAGACATTTCTTGTTTACTACAATTTTGTTCATCATACGCATCAAAACAATCAATCATCTCGACTCTTTTTCAAGTTTATTAATTATCTACCAGATCTTTGTTTAAACTAATTGGTTCTACTTTATTTCTGTTGAAAGTTTATTCCTCTATATTAAATCAAAACTGAAAGGTAAGTTATTTTATTTACTTGTATACTTGTACATTCGTTTGTCTTATTGTCAATGTTTTGTTATTTATGCTTAGAATGGCCTCCATACTGAAAGATTATTCCGACTCTAATGAATTGAGAATGTTCAGAGGAAATTTTTACGAGTGCCAAAAAAATGGAACCTTGACGCCTCAGGTCCAATTTGAATATGCTGTGTGCCTAATCAGAAGTAGGAATCGACCTGAGATCAAAGAAGGAATCACTTTGATGGAAGAATTGTATAAAAACAAACTTGGTGGTGAACTACATTGTTACCTTTTGTACCTTGCCGCAGGTTATGCAAAGGTTGGTGAATATCGGTCAGCCTTGGTTCATATTAAAAAGTTTCTTTCATCACAACCTAATAATATACAAGGCAAGGAGTTGAAGAAAAAAATTATGAGCCAGCTTAAGGATGATGGCATGAAAGCAGCCGCGGTTGGCGGAACAGCAGCTTTAGTCATTGGAGGTCTTGTTGGACTTGGTATGGCTTTGATGAAAAAATAACTTCATCTTGTCACATGAACCAATCTCTGAACTTTGTACTTTTTATAATCTCATTTTTCACCGAAGGTTCACTGTAAACTTTCATTAATTCATTCTTATAATAACAGATTGACTGAACACCTTTGACCAAACATATTGATATAACGACTGGCAATGACAAAGTTCAATCACATCGATTCAACTTCGTTAGTTTTATTTTTCTTTAGATTCTAAAAATTTTTCTTCCCGTGAGACTTTTTCTAGTAAACTTCTCGTTCTGTTTCTAAAATTTGAGTCCATGCCATGTTAATAGTACGAAGTTTCGCGTAACCAGATTATTTTCGACAAATTAGAAGAATTGAAACAAAAAATGAACTTAATGATCTTATCAGTATTAATGGTATATTTGATAATCATGAATACAAAAACTCTTTAATACGATTAACTCTTCACGCTTCCCTTGTCCGCTTCTTTATCCTCGTCCTCGGAGTCGGAATCGTGTCTAAGTGCAGCTTTTGCGTATTCTTCGGCTTCGCTAAACAAATTTTTAGGAACAGCTTCATGGCGACCTTGGGTTCCCTCAGTTATCCAAGATAGCTCTAATTCAAAGGCTTTGTCCTTTATCTCATCATGAACAATATATATTATTTTAGCGGCTTCCTTAATCAAATCTTTGCAAGACATGTCTTTAAATTTGATCTTTTCAATTTCGGTTTTAGCAGCTTGCTTTGCTTTACCAATGGAACACCCGAAATAACCATAGTTTGAGCCCGATGGATCAAGGCAGTACAATTGAGCACCATCAATGGGGTCCCAGGCACCCATCAGTATAGATGTTCCAAAAGGTCGAAGAGCTGAATAAAGAGTGTAGGCATGCATGTACATTGCCACTCGATCCTTTAAATACTTTAATGGAATACGCTGACCCTTCTCTTTCCGGTATTTTGATGCCTCATCTCTTCCTATGTTCACAATTGCTCGAGCATCAGCTATCAAACCGGCAGTAGCACAGCCAATATGTCTATCAATATTAAAGATTCTTCGGTTGGCTCCTTCTTCGTGTAGCTTAGATGGAACCAGCTTTTCTACAGCAAAAACAACACCGTCTTTACCCCGAAGAGCAACAACGGTACCAGAATTGTCAACAGCTTTTTGAGCATATTCAATTTGAAATATTCTACCATCAGGAGAGAATTGAGATGCAGACAGATCGTAACCAGTACCAATAGAACTCATTTTGATAGCTTCACCAATTAAGATAACACGTTAATCACAAAAAGAAAACTAAATAACAAAACTAATTGAACAATTGATTGTTTAACAAAATTTCAACAAAACCGAGTTTTGCTAAATCATGGATTAAAATGATCGGTAGATGGAGCTGAAATTTATCCTAGGGACTAAGAAAAAATTACATTTTGTTTTATGATGAAAAGTTTGCTTAAAATCTCATGAATTTTGTTTGCTTGATTGTAAAATTCCTTAGAAGTAAGATTTAGGAAATCGAATAAAATTTACCCAAAGTTTGATCTGATTTCGGTTTGTTGTTCAGGGGAAAGAATTAAAATAAATTACTTTAATGACGAAAGTTTGAACATTTACTTGTAACAGATAATTAAGTTATCTTGCAATACTCATTTTCACCATTAATTAGTCAGTAAAATTTGCTTTTAAAGGTCGTCAAAGATATTTTTAATTGAAAATAATATAAATAGAAGTCAGATTGAGATTGTAAATAAAAAATGAATGAGAAGACATGATTTAAGTTGAAAATGCATAAGATGAAAATTAAGACTAGAACATTATGAACATTATTAAAAGAAAAAGAGTATTAGCATGAAACATGGAGTTAATTGAGATGAGTAATTGAAGAATTGAGATTAATTTTGAAGCACAAAGGGTGGTTTCAATTTGGCAATCTTAGATTGGCAAACTAAAGTCAGAATAAATAAGATAGCAGGAAAGGCTTGGTAAGAGGAACATAGAAAAAGAGAGAATTGTGTTGAATAAACATGATACGAAAAACAAACACAAATATCTATGACGAGGACTTTCGAATCGTTCATCGTTCAAAGTTTCAATACTGGCAGTCAAAAAGGAAGTTTGGTACGTGATGAAATAATTTAATCAATGCCACTTGATCCACGAATAGCACAAGACAGACAGTAAGCGATTGAAATGGATATTAGTTCAATGAGCGCAAGTAAAAGAGCTGTTCCACCAACAATGAACACATTATCTTTGAGTGTGGTTACCGCTTGATTCATACAGCCTACAGCAGAAACATATTTTCCTCCTTTGCATAAATCACTAACTCTCAATCCATCTTGTATTTCTTCTTGACAGCAAGATTCGGGTAAAAATTTGGTTCCATTTTTTTCCCAGTCATCTGGACCATAAACACCACAGCATTTCAAGTATTTTTGAATTTCATCCATGGGTACATTGAGCGGGTCTTTTGGGTCTTCATTATTATAATCTTTAACAAATTTTTCCATTTGTATTCGAATAGCATCGTTAACATGAGTTTCATAATGTCCATATGTAACAAACAATGCAGCAATAACAAATTCAATGATCAAGAATAGGAAGATAATCACTGCAAATGTCAGTAACATACACTGATTTTCAGCAAAAGCTCCATAAGATCCAAGAAAAGAGACGACAAATAAGATACAGCCAATAATAATTAATGCAGTTGCCGCTCTTTCAGTGATACCCAGACTTTCAAAATGGTTTATAGGAATGAATTCAGCTCTCCAATTGGCTGCCAGTCCAATTAAACCGATGGCAAAACACACAAGAACTAGATTAACAAATCCAAATAGGAATTTGATCACCTTCATTACACCGTGAACCATGATTAAATTGAAGTTAGAAACAGCTATATTAAACTAAAATAACACAAATTAAAGTGAAGCAATAGCTATTTATTAAAAAGGGCAGAATAGATTGAGCATCAATATTTTTGTGGAGGATGCAAAAGGGACCATTTACAGTCAATATTCCCAAAATAGATGAGCATTTTTTCCTAAAATTTTAAAATTTGTTAGATTTTAAGGGTGAATTTAAGTGCAATCATAATTTGTTCAATTAAGTTAAAGATTTTGAAAATACCTCGGGTTAATAAATTTGGGTTGATGCTCGAAAAGACAAAATGAATGTTTCTTGTTACTGATGAATTGCTTTTTAAATTGAAGACTTTATTATCAGTTGGCTGATGGAATTAATACCAGGTCTATTCTATACAAGATATTTATTAATTGAGACCTTATGAGTCTCTTTAACCAAAGCGTCAAACAATTGTTTTACGCTGATTAACATCAAATAAAAGCACCCTCTCTAAGATTTGAAAGTCGCCATCCTTAAGAAGCTTGGTTAATTATTTGTCTCCTTACTGAATCAACACAATTAATAAACTCTTTAGCTACTTTGGAACATTTTAAAGACATGCCTTGATTTTCATTATAACAAAATTCTACATTTCTTTGGGCTTCAACACAAACAGGCTCATGTTTATGAGATGAAATGTATTTCTCATCAACTTGATTCAATTTATTCTCAAGCTTTGATCTAGATGCATCGAACAATTGACGATTTTGTCTTTCCAAATATTCGGTCTTGTTTCGGTAATGTTTTTGAATCAAATCAAGTTCTTGTTGATGTTGTTGTCTAAGTCTTAATGTATCCATTGTTACAAATTTACCACCCTGTTGAGGAGCCTAAATTGAATTTGAGTTATAAAAACAAAATTAGAATCAATTTATAATTGACTGCATGTCACTTTAATAAGCAGTTATCAGAAAATAGACAAACCTGGGGCATTAACTGTGGTTCCTCTTCGACCGAAGCACTCCAATTTGGTTGTTTATTTTCTTGTGAAGGTGCAGGACGTTCCTTTTCGACGTTATCCTTCAATCTTTCAACCACCGATTCGGAAAGCTAAATAATAAAACAAAAAGATTAAGATGAATATTATGATAAACAGTTGTTGTGTACTCAGTTAGTTTGAATTTTCACCGGACTGACATCTTTGGGACCTTAGAATATGATTAAAAGCACAGATTTACATCTTAAATCTACTTGCCTAATGGACAGCGACAAACAAAAATTTTACAAAACAACTGGGTACAGTATCGTATATGAAATAAGAATTTTTCATACAAAATTGTATTGAAAAATAAATAATCACAAATATTTTGATAGAGGAAAACCGGTTCAAGGATAAAAGGCTTAAAATACAAACCTTAAGAACGTTATCACTTTCATTAGTAATAGTGATCCTTCGTGTACTATTTCCAGATCCCATAATAATAAATAGAGATTAATTGAAATTAAATTAGTTTAACCAAATTAACTAATGAAGAAACAGACAAAAATCGAGAAGGGCATTTGATTGTAACCAATGGTGAAAGCCACAAACAGACTTTTAATTCAGGGATCGTTTATTCATTACTGAGCAAAAAACAGATGACTCTTAATAATTTTGTTTTGAATTAAACTCGTGGTGAAGTTGCCAAGAAATTTACAAATTAGTGAATTAATCAATTTGATCAAAGACAATGGAAGATTGACTTAATGGTGGTTGCCAAATTTATGGTCATCTGCATGTGGAGAGCCCTTTACTCTGCCTTTTCTAACTAAATTTACCTGCAGTTGTTTTTGTTTAATTGTTTGATCAATCATCATGAACAACATTAATGGAAGACAGGATGATCTTGCTTCGGATATGGTTGTGCCTGAAAGGATAATTGTTATTGGAGGAGATAAAATGGCCTCAACCCGAGAGATTTTACCTGAAGCTGGATTTGAAAATCATCTTTTAGGTGATAACAGAAACAATCCAATTGACTTACCTTCGCCCCCTTCTGTATTAACCTATGAGGCCTATTCACAGCCAAATGATGATTTTAGATGGAGAAATGAAGTTACTCCGAGACCGAATCGAGTGAAAATTGCTCCTATGGCAATGAATGGTGATGATTATACTCCTGTCAAAGACGATTACACTCCTGCAAGAGACTCCAGAATGATGAGGTTTGAAGCTTATTTTGTTTTTAAACTATTTTGTTATTTTTCAAGTCTAATTTTTCAACTAATTTAATGTCTAATTTTTTTTTCTTTACATGTAGCAGTTTTGAAAGTAATTCAACTCCAGCTGATGCAGTTTCAGCATTGAGACAACAAATAAGATCACTTAATCGACGTATATCTGCCATCGAAAGAGAGAATCGCCAAAAAAACCAAAGAGATATGATAATCTATTCCGTTGGCCTGGTTTACATTGCAATCAAAACATTGATGTACATTAAGAGAAATATACTTTAGATAATGATATCAATTTTATTTCATTTACATAAATCATGTTCCAATGTTAAAAGATTACCTATTCGTTGTTCATCTATTCTCAACTTTTAAACCCTCAATCTTCAATTCGGCAATCGCTTCAATTTTGGCTATCCGGCGCTGTTTCACCCTTAAACAGTAGGTGTTATTGTTTAGTACTTGTCATATTTACTAGATATATAATAATAGCGATTGATAAACGTCTAACTAGTCTAATAACTCATGTTATCGTTAACAAGTAAGAAATTTGCAAATACGTAAGTAAATCAATCCATTTAGTTGAAGACAATGAAGATTGACTGAATGATCATTGTCAAAGTTATGGACCATAGCTTATGGTCATCTGCATGTGAATCATCAATAGTTGAATTTAGATTTTCAAACTAGATTAATAATGGACTACAATAACTGATTAATGTTAGACATTCGTAACAAGTAGCTGATAGTTCATCAAACTAACTTGCGAGTTTTATTTGATACAATAGTTATTGAATATGACCATTGCAGTTTGGTTCTGACAAGCACATGTGATAAAAAAAGTTTTACAAATTGATAATCTCTTAAACAGTAGCTGTTATTGTTAGTACCTGTGCTATGAACCAATATTTAATAATAACCATTGATAAAAGTCTATTAGGCTCGAATGTTGAGCCAGCAGTCTATTCAGCCGAGAAAAAATGTTCAATTAAGTTAATTTCATAGAGATTTAACATTACATTTAAATTTGATGGGTATTTTAAAACCCATGCTATTAGTCGTTCACCGTCGATGTGTCGTTTGCACATCTTTTTGCTCGATTATTGGTGCATCCTATTGAATCAGATGAACTCCATGCTAAAATGACCGATTGTTTATTTGGCATTATACAACTGGTTGAATCAAGTAACATTGGGCGAGGGGCTGAAACATCGGTAAAAATCCAACAAAATTGATCACAATTTAAGGCGTTATCTAATGAATGATTACAAAAAGACATTTCATTAGTGAGAGTACAAATTTTACTATTTATGTAATGTTTTGCTGTATTTACATTTTACATTGTGTTTACACATTGAATTAATTTGATACAATACTCATTGAATTACTGAGATTCAATAGATTAGCTTGAAAATAAATTTTTGTATCGATACATATATGTAAATATGTTCAGAAATCCAGAATCATATCAATTGCACAGATGAATAATATGATGAGATAAAAATTGATCTATCGATTGCTATTTATCCCTTTTGGTGCAATAATTTTAGTTAAACTTTTTTCTCTACTCCACAATTTGAAGAGCTTGTAAAATATTATAAGATTTGAACTTATCTCAAACTGACTCTCACTTCACCATCTAATTATGGAATAATTATCTGATCATTTGTCTTAAATGGAAAATCAAAAGCAATAAAATAAAAAAATTACAATGTAAAATGTAACCAAGGAAGAAACAGAAATAAGCCAAATGATTACATACCTTCTAGATCAATCATTGACAATGAAAGCATGGGATTGAAAAAGTTTGTTGGAAGAACTAACAGTTGATTGTTGCGTAAATTTAACTCTTTTAGTGATGGTAAATTGTGAGTAAAGTAATCGGCCAGGCTTTCCAATTTATTGTTGCTCAGATCGATCGACCAAAGGTTTGGCGCTTCTGAGGGTAATGCAAGTCGAGAGAAGGTTGTTAAATGGTTGTGAGTAATGGTCAGTGTTTGAATTGAATTAAGGAAACCAAGAGCGCCTTGTCCTATACTAAAGATGCGGCAGTTGATCATTGATAGAGATTTTAAAGTGTTGGGTAAAAATTGGTTTGTAACCACTTTGAATGAGCTTTTATCATCAATCGAGTTCAACAGGCAATCCTCAAAATAAATGTGTTTAAAATTGAACTCTGCCCAGGACCAAAGAGCAATGCTTGAAGATCGAACGATAGTCAACGATTCATGGCCAATTACTGTTTCAGGGGTTGACAACTTTTCTGTTGGGCCAATAAAATTGGCATTTTGTATAATAAGATGGTTAAAATTGACGTCTGCCAAGGTTTGTTGATGGTCAGAAGGTGTTCCATTGATGGCTAAAGCATGTATTTTCAGATCCTTGTACGGTTGAAGGAGAGAACCACTGTTACAATTTAAACTTATTTTATCTAGACAAGGTGGTAAATAAAGAGAAAAGGTAAATTGAAGGTAACGAGGAGATTAAATAGATGAGTTTTAATAAAATCTTACCACCAAGATAAGTATACTCTTCACATTGAGTGGCGTTAGTTGGCTTGATCCGCTGTTTACCAAAACAAAGAAGGGAGAATAGGCATAAGGTTGATATTTCACTGATCATTGTGGTTGTCAGTATTGCTCGGTAAATAGAGCCAATTGTTGATCAATTATTAAGACATTTTACACATTGAAAGGCTGTTAATGAGATCTTGTTGGGTGACAATTTATTTAAGGATTAAGACTGTTTACCAGATTCGGATTTATGGTGTTGATTAAAAGACTGATCAAAAATCATCACAACTAAATGATCAACGCTATTTCATACACACATTTGATGAGAGTTGTAAAAATGATCTCTATCAATTAACACTTTTTTTTATCTGGGTGTAACTATAATTGATAAATATTCACATGAGAACTTTATTCAAATTAATTTCCGTACAACATTTTCAGGTAAATCAAACGAAAAGCTGTTTGTTGTTTTTATTTACTTGTGTGAAAGGTTTTCAATTTTATGCTTCTATTGATTAGTATTTTCCTGATTTCCCATATAATCTACTTTTTTGCTCAACTACAGCTCAATAATATTTCTGATAAACTGACAATGAATAACTTAATAGTCACAATAAAATAATACAACTCTTTCCTTGACTAACTGCAGGCAAAAGTTGGTTGAGATTAGCTTTTTTAGGATATAATATCCTAATTAGGTATAAGATATGATTTGGTGAAGCAACTGAATAAAATTGAAATTTATCTCTTCTCTGTAACTGATGAAATTTCTGGTTGTGGTTACAATGGCATTTAAAGAGTCTAAACTTTGTCACCTTTCAATTGATCAAATGTAAAATACAAATGAATTCAAATATTTAATTGTGATTTAGTCTTTTTATGGACTTATCCGTTTGTTGACTTTCAATTCTTTGGATTTTTTTGTACATTACAGTCCATTTAAAAAGATTGGTTAATTCATTACCGTACTAATTATAGTTAATTGTAGTTTCACACAATGAATTGATGTGACTATGCGGTTATTTATTTTGTAATTAACAGAATCTGATTCTAGCTGGAATTTTGACTGATTGGTTGCTAAGTTGGTGATTAATCAGCTAATGATAATCATCTGTTGATTAACATATTATCGTTCTGGTTGTTTATAAATCTGTCACTCATTTTGAGGATTTGTTGAAATGAAAATATTTAAAAACTGGTTACCCAAAGAAGCTTTTCTGGTAAAAGAAATTTGTAATTGGCGCTTGTTTTTATGGGAGGGATTTCAGGATAAGTCGGTTGAATATTATTTAAAACAATTTGTTTTAACTTGACTTTTGGAGGCAAAGCTGACTTTATGCTGGACGTTTAATTGTTTGTATTGGTTTTGACAATTTAGTCAATTGGTCACTTAAGTAGATAATGCACGATTTCATGGTGATCCAGAAATCATTGTTATTACAAATAATATTTGCAACTAAGATTTATGTTCAAATGATTTGTCTTTGGTTATTATTCGAGATACTTTACAGTATTATTTGCTCAAAGCATTCTGAACTTGATATCTTTTACAGGATAATTAAATGCCAATTATTTTTTTAAAATCACTAAATTGATTGAAAGTAAAGTTTCAATCGTTTCAAAGAATCATAAACAAAATTTTAATCGATCCAACAAACAATGACCGATGTTCGATATATCGGTCATCGTTTGTTTTTTAAACCTTTCTCTGTCCTTTCTCATTAAGTTTACCTGCAGTTGTTTTTGTTTAATTGTTTAATCAATCATCATGAACAACATTAATGGAAGACAGGATGATCTTGCTTCGGATATGGTTGTGCCTGAAAGGATAATTGTTATTGGAGGAGATAAAATGGCTTCAACTCGTGAGCTTTTACCTGAAGCTGGATTTGAAAATCATCTTTTAGGTGATAACAGAAACAATCCAATTGACTTACCTTCGCCCCCTTCTGTATTAACCTATGAGGCCTATTCACAGCCAAATGATGATTTTAGATGGAGAAATGAAGTTACTCCGAGACCAAATCGAGTGAAAATTGCTCCTATGGCAATGAATGGTGATGATTATACTCCTGTCAAAGATGATTACACTCCTGCAAGAGACTCCAGAATGATGAGGTTTGATTCTTATTTTGTTTTTAAACTATTTTGTTATTTTTCAACTAATTTAATGTCTAATTTCGTTTTCTTTACATGTAGCAGTTTTGAAAGTAATTCAACTCCAGCTGATGCAGTTTCAGCATTGAGACAACAAATAAGATCACTTAATCGACGTATATCTGCCATAGAAAGAGAGAATCGCCAAAAAGACCAAAGAGATATGATAATCTATTCCGTTGGCCTGGTATACATTGCAATCAAAACATTGATGTACATTAAGAGAAATATACTTTAGATAATGATAACAATTTTATTTCATTTACATAAATCATGTTCCAATGTTAAAAGATTACTTGTTTGTTGTTTATCTATTCTCAACTTTTAAACCCTCAATCTTCAATCCATTAGTCTCTTCAATTTTGGTTATACATCCCTGTTTCACCCTTTTGCCTTGTAATCTCATTCTTGATACTAGCATTGGTTATGTTTCTATCAACAAAGTTCCATTAATAATGGCTTAATATTAATATGATCGAGTATCAAATTAATTTGATCTTCTCAACAACTTTTACTCTGATCTTTTCTGATAATTCAAGAGTATTTACATGTAAGATGGATTTATTCTTAAACAGTATCTTTTATTGTTTAGTGCCTATGCCATTCACCAAATATTTGATAATAATCATTGATAAATGTCTATGCTAAATGTAAATGCTCGAATGTTGAGTCAGCAGTCTATTTAGTTGAGATAAAATGTCCAATGAAGTTAATTTCATAGATATTTAACCCTCTCATATTGTCACGTCGTGGGATTAGCATTTTGGCAAGATGTATACAAGATGCATTAAATTAGTACATGGCTTTGGATTTTGATGGGCAGGAATATTTTGGTTTTAATAGCGATTATGTGATCGTTTTGACCGTCCTTTAACTTTCAAATGATCAGCAAGTTGAAAACTCTAAACATTAAAAAAGAGCTTTCCTGACTCACCAGCTCTCAAGTCAAATTGAACCTCATGTAGAGTCTGTGGAAGAATCTGAAAGCAGATTAGGTCTTCAAGTTCCAATAAAAGTGTTAAGATGCCTTAAATTTGTCTTAATTGTCCTCCCTAGCATCATCATCATCTCTTTTTAAAAGACTTGTTAGACTATCCTGAAAAATTGATAAGAAAATGTTGATGATAATGAAAAAAACAAAAAATATTAAGCCTTTGAGCGTTTTGTAATTCATTTTTAAGATTTAAAGTACACTTGATTGTTTTAGTGATTATAAAGACTAAATAATTTATTTACAATTTGAGTGAACAACTATTAAAATAGTATTAGGTATTAATAGTGTTTATTAAAGCTTAATTCTTAATCCATATCCCAATCTTATTATTCATTTAAGCATATAATTGATGTTTACATCCTTACACCAATCCTTACAACACTATTTGCATTGAAATACAGGGTCAATGAATTGTTACAAGAAACTGGTTTGCTCGTAATTTTCAAATCTTTTTTTTGACTAATATCTGTCAAACAACTTTACTAGCAAACAATAACATCGGAAGGTGATTTTTTAATTAAGACCTCACTCAAAGCACATTTTTCTCACCAATCATCTACTGATGATTAACTTTCGGGACAAAGTCTACAGTCAAAAATCACTGACTGGTTTAAAATAAAACTCAATAGATACAGACTACTAACTGAGAACATGAAAAAATGGCTTCAACTGAACCCTTTAGTGAATTTCAATCCATCTATTTACCTATTCAGTGTTACCTAAAATTTGCATGCAGAGCAATCATCATCGTTTTCTTCACCTTCATATCCATATTCATTAAGAGTCAACGCTCGATAGTCGAAACCCAGCTCACTATAAAAGACGAATCAGAGTATTCGAAAGTTCATGTTATCTGATTTGATTGAAGGAATCGAGATTTTGACGAATACTTCTAGTCGTATCAATTGATGAACTTGAAGAAGCACATCGAGATGACTGTGACATTGAGCGAAGTATTGGATTTGAGAAGTGATGTGAATTGCGAATTGTAAATATCTTGATTGGCCTTTTACTTTCTTGACTTTTTTTATCTTTCCAGTAACCTTGCTTCCTAAACATTATTTCTAATTCAATCAATTTACATTATTAATATCTTGTTTCGATAATGATAGAAATCGTAAAATTAACCAACAAATCAATAAATTATCACTACGAATAATTAATTGAAATGAAGTTTTCTCAGCATGTTGAGTGTAAAGTTTTATTGATACATTGATACTTTGTTTTATTGATTTTCAGTGCAAAAGATTTGTATTTGATTAAAACATTCGAGATTCTTGTCAACAAGTGAAATAAGTACAGCAAAATGCGAGTCGAAATTTCTACAATAATTGGCCTTTTTAGTCTAATAGGATGCGTCTATCAAAATGGTATAACAAAGTCTTATTTTCAGTTCAAATACTTTTTTCCCGTGGAATTTAAGAAACTCAAAAACAGTTCAATAGAAAACTGAACACGTTACATTTGATATGTTTATCGATAAAAATAATATAAAACAATGTACTGGAAATTTATTATTAATAATTCATTTATTTTTACTTTTATGTTCGTCATAGAAGTGGGTTTGACTAGTTATAAACTTTCGTCGAATCGATAATTATTCTACTTGACTCAATCGGTTACAATCGATGAAATCGATGTCAACTGTCCACCTCTAGTTTGTTATATTATAATTTAATCAAGAAGAGACAACAACTGTAACTCAATAATTATCTAACTTATTTATTCTTTTATAAACATGAAGGGGCGGACTGTACCGTATTGGTGTGCTTTTTTTGTAAACACCAGATGCAATTGTGAGTAATTGCTTATTATGTTTTTGACCCTTTCCCAAACTGACTAAATGTCGAACAAAACTGTACTAAATGCATACATACTGTGTGTTTGCCTTTCTTTGGTAAACAGTCTCAGTTCTACTCTACAGCCTTAAATTATTCGCTTTGAAAATTGGTCAGTTTTCAATGAAAATGTTCAGATAACTGATAATGGACCGAATTAAGTACATTTTCTGATGTTAAGATGATTATTTCGAATAATCTTGCATAATAATCTGAATCAAATTCCAAATGTCAAATCAATAGTCGGCTCAAGCAATATTATCGCACTTTTTCGTGTTTCAGTCTCTGCGAAAATTGATTTTGAGTATTAAAGATGAAGATAAATCTATCATGGATGGTTAGTTTTCTTTGTTTCATTGGCTGTTCTATTCAAATCTATGATTTAACTCGTCTCTATTTGAAATACAAGGTTCGACATGAAATGACTTATGATTATACTGATCAAGTTGAACTGCCTACCATTGACATAATTATACCAATGGTTATGGCTATTAACTTGACTGAATTGTTCATCCGTTATCCCGAGAAAATGATCAATTTTTGTAAAATTTACAGGAAGACAGCGAATCATACTATTGACAATTTTAAAAGTATATGTTTCCATGAAATTAAGAAAGTTGCCACTTTATCATCTATTAACTTTGCCAAATTCGTCAAAGTAAAGGACATAAATGAGCTTACAGTTGATCCTCGACAACAGATAGACTATATTCAAATTGGAGATGTAAATGTCCCAATTGACAAGTGCAAGTTGGAACGGTATTATTCTGGAATTGCTATTTTCCTTCGCATCTCTTGCACAGAACAAGCAGCACTAATTACTGACAGAATAAACAACGTAGATTCATATGAAGGAAACATAGCAACAATTGGTCACTCATTTGGCCCATATTTTGGAATCAGATTCACCAGTCTAGTTGATATGCCTATATTTGCGCATAGTGCATATTTCATGATTATCCAAAAGGCTGATAAACTGACTACATCCTGGGTTCGATACGAGAAGATCGTTTCACGTTCGCTTCCTTACCCATATGAAACTAACTGTCGCAATTACAATAAATTAAAAGCTCTGTCAGATTGCGTTGTCAAACAAACGATTCGTAAGGGATTTCTGTGGAGAGGAGTTGTAAATGAATGGGGTTCACAACCAGAACATTTTGGTTTTGATGTTGAGCTTACAACTTATAGAGAAGCTAGAAAGTCTTGCGCTAAATTGCCCCTTCTTGAGTGTGAAAGAACTACTTACATAATTGGTGGTGGCATTAATTCAGAAAAGGTAAACCATACATCTGGATTAATATACATTGAGAAACCAGTGACTCCAATCATGTACTTTAAAGCACACCCAGAATTGCTATTGAGTGAATATCTCATTTTTCTTGGAGGTATCATTGGAACTTGGTTTGCGTTTTCAATATTAGATAATTTAATAAGCATTTTGATATGGATGAAGAATAAAGTTATTGCAAAGATCAGAAAAAGTCGAGAAAGTAAAAGCCCAATCAAATTATTCACGATTCGTAATTCATATAATTTCTCGGATCCATCACTCAACTCAATATCAGACCAATCTCGATGTGCTTTTTCACATTTATCAATTGCTACAGTCAAAAGTACTCATGAACTTACTCTTAATAACTAAATCGTACTTTGAATTTCCAGTTTTTCATCACATTTATTTTAAATGTGAATTTTGATCCAATCAAGATCAAGCAAGATCCGATTTTTTCTCACTTTACCCCAAAATCACAGAGTACGAGACATTATTTAGGGAAGTATTGATCTTGAAAATCAACCACTGGACATTCTTGTCCCAACGTTTGGTTTATTGAGCTACAAAGACTGTTCTTTCACAATACTACAGTGGATTGGCCATTTTTTTGCGCATCTCTTGCCTCAATGGAACTAAGCCATTCTCTGTCAACGCCAATTACGTTCCAGGGAATCTAGGTTATGTATATGTTTTTAGATACACTTTTGGAATTTATTTCGGCATAAGATTTAGTGACCGAGCTGAACAAAGTAAATACTTCATTATTACTCATAAGCCTGGTTCATTTCCACTTGTTACGATGAGTTTGGTAAAGACAGTTATGAGTTCCCTTGAGTACCCATATGAGACCAACTGTCGTCATTTCAATAGGCTGAAAGCATATCCAAATGTATGATTAAATATACACTTGGTCAAGCAACGCCTTACCTGTTTAAATCTTCGATATATAAATGGGGCGAACACCTAAGTCACCTGAGTTCTAGCGGAGACAATAAAGTTGATCCACGTAATGAAGGCCAGAAAGTCAATCAGTGCGAGTTGGATGCATTCTGCAATTGCAAACAACAAGCAGCAGCTACTGAATGCGAGAAAACAGAATATTTATTAGA